ACCCATACAAACACTGTTAGAGGAAAAAAACCACCTATGCACAAAATCAATAGCGTTTATTCGTCGTCATTTGATGATTTAGACATTTTTTTTTTCACAATGGACCAAAATATAGCAACAAAGCAGGCTGGGTAAACAAGGTAAAGTTTACATTGTTTGCATACGCCAAGATATACTCACATCTAGAACATAGGAACGTAATTTATGAGTTATATTGGATTGCGACGATGCAAGTAATACGAATGATTTCGCATTTACGAGTATAGTCAATGTGTAAGTGTGCGCAAAACCACTTGATTCCAATATTTTTGCCTCGCCTCGGCTTGAGCTTCCAAAAAGAAGATGGTAATAAAAAAATTTTCAAAGTTTTCCTTTTCATAGCCATAGGGAACGTTTATTCATCATCTATGTACTACATGAGTTTGATCAATCGATAGAGTCTTTTGATCTCCAGAGCACAATGGGATGGGATGTGAAACGGTCGAGCGTATCAAACTAGGCTTTAAGGTGATAAGAAAACGAGTTGATTATTTATCCGGGTTTAACAAACAGTTTAATTAAGGTAATCGAACATGTAGTGATAGATCAACTAGTTATATGGGTGATTTCCTAAAAATTATTCATTATCAAAAGAAAAAAGAGATGTTCACGAGGGAAAGGAAAAAAGGAAAAAGGGAAAGGGAAAGGGTCAGGGTTTAGGGTTAGGGTTAAAGAAAAGAAAAGGCGATGGATAACTGAGTAAAAGGGAATCAAAGAATAGGGAATAAACTCCAAAGACAAACGAAACCGATCAGGAAAAAAAAAAAAAAGAGCGTTTGTGATGACATGATTTGCTTCTATATTACGACGGGCTTCTTTAATTCGGTAATCGGATACCACCGTTTTATTTCTTTAGGATAACAATTGATGGTTTTGTTAATGAGATTTGTAAAAGTAGTAGTACATTAATTTATACAGACCTTTTTACCTTCAACGGACGTCAACGGAACGTTCCCCTGGGAACGCAACGCCCCCCTTTTTTGTAATTCATCTGCAAAAAGCACTATAATAATTAATACCAACTACGGGCTATTGCAACGGCGGCTATTACAACGGCTATTAAAACGGCTATTACAACGGCTATTCTATTGCAACGGCTATTGCTACGGTTGCTACGGCTGCTACGGCTGCTACGGCTAATACTAATTAATATATTTATTACCACCGCTACTATTACACCATCCCTTCTCTCTTTCTCGAGGTATCTGCCATAAATGTCACTACTGATCATGCATTTCGAATATGTGTCAAAAATATGTGATATCTTGTCACAGCTAGGGTATTACCTACTATAACGAGTGAATTTGTAATATCACAAAATGACTAGCTATTCAAATCTGTGCACTGTATATTTATCTAAGTTAAACCACTTAGGGCGTTTTAAAATATAAGGTTCACATATAAATCACATGACCAGCCATGTGTGGATATATTTAAACTCGTTAAAATAAATAACCTTCTTACTCTAAACTTACTTTGCTAATATAAATCAGTACAAGCACCGAATTGACCAATAAAAATCCAGACGCTAAAATTTATTTATGTGGGCCTCCCCAAGTCGTTCAATTTATAAAAGGTTATTCCTGACTTATAATCTTTTTGATTTCAAAAAAAAAATATTCGAGACGAAGGAAAAAAAACTTTTTCGTTTTCATCACATTTGGTTCGATTCGAAACGAATATCATCATATAAACAACTGACGCACGCAACTGACGCACGCAAAAATCCATCATCATTCATACAATTAATATATATATACAACACGCACGCACGAAGCACACACACACTCAACTTTACACACATCTTGCATCATTCAAAAGCTTTTGCATACACACATTATCTGACTATATAACCTTTTCAACTCTTGTCGTTTTCTTTTGTAAAGAAGACAGATATTAATAACGACTATCGATTAGTATCTTATTAATAAACAACAAATCTTTTATTGTCCCCACCAAATCTCCCCCCCTCCCCCCTCCACAAACGATATAAATAGCGTCTCACAGATTTTTTTTTAAAATCAACCCACCCCCACACACGATCAATAAATATAGCATTTACGGATTATTCCCTTTCACAAACAAAAACCTGGTCCCTCACTCGCATCCTTTATCAATATCACAACATGCAACGTCATGCTTTCACTTCTCCCTTTGCTCTCTCTCATGAAGTCACTCATGCTCCCGTATCAGCCATAGGTAAGATAATCCACAAGGATTTGGTTTCGTCGTTTCGTTGTGTTCTGTTCTGTCGTTTCGTTGAAAACTCGTACTCGAGGAAACGTCTCTTGTCAAAAAGTACGCGTTTTTTCCACTACTAAACAAGTGATATCAATTTCATTATCTATTTTATCTATATAAATCACATCCTCTCTCCATTACACGCGACTACAACTACGACACGGATAAAACCCTCTTTTGGAATACGACTCGCAAATCTATCCACGTTTCTCTTTTCACACTCTCTCCCTCTCGATACTCTCCCTCTCTCGATACTCTTCCTCTCTCGATACTCTTCTCGCTCTTCATCCATCATCAGAGCTTTCTTACTGTCCATCACAGTCTTCTCTGGTTTCCATTCATCAAACCGCATTCGATGCACACGTCTCACACTCCACATCAACTACTCTTCCCGCTCAATCGGTCCCAAGTCATCCACTCACACACCAACAGCCACTCTCCTCTCCAGTGCAATTACTATCTCCGTCTCCCTCATCTCCATTAAGCTTTCTGGAATATCGTGAGAGTGCTCCAACATCAACCGAAGAATTCGATACACCCGAGTTTTTTCAATATAGCAAGGAAAAATATGAATCGGCCAAGTCGGGAGTAAAGAGACGAAAGAGACGAGGCGATAACGACGGAATATTGGTCGATGGTCAGGGTGGCATCATTGGACCGGGAGGCGGCACTGAGGAAGGTGATGATGATGAGAATTGTAGGTGAGTTGATTACACGAAACGGAACGCGAATGAGAGAGGGGTTGGGAGACGCGGAAGAGCTTGAGAATTAGATCGCGGGCAAATGCTATGATTGTGGGGATCTTGGGTGTGTCTCTGGGTGTCAGTGTGTAAGTGTGTAAGTGTGTCCAGCGCATCAATGTGTATCCAATGTATTAGTGCAATATAGTGTGTGTCAGAGTGTCATTGTACTAGTGCAATAGTTTGTCGTATGTTTGTATGTTGTGTGTGTGTTTGCGTGTTGATGTTTTGTATGTTTGCGGGTTGTGTTTGTGTTTGTGTGTTATAATATGATGGGGGGATGGGTAGGACTAATTAATTAGTTTCATCTTTTTATTTCATTAATCACGTGATATTATATCCTATTTCTAATAGATCAATTTATTTTTATAGTGCCATATCACATGCAGAATTCCGTCGTCAAGTACACATTCAATCTGAACAAAAGCGACGCGCTGAAATCAAGGATGGGTTTGAAGAATTGCGTCGGCAACTTCCATTCGCATATAATGGGAGAAAGATGAGCAAAGCCACTTTGTTGCAGAAAAGTAAGTATTGATGTTGAAAAGTACCGATGGTTGATATTAGCGAGTCGTTAGTATGTGTATTTACATGTTACATATTTTGACTATTTAGCTGTTAATCATATCAAGCAAATGCGATCAAGAGAGAGCTTCCTTCTTGAAGAAATTAATAGACTCAATCAAACTGTATTATACCTCAACACACAATTGGAAAACGAAAAAAAGTAAGTTCCATGTGATTGCTTGCTGTTTTTTATTCATCTCCTTTCATCTTTTGCCACTCCCTGGTATATTATTTTCCTTCTCTTTCCCAATTTCTCTACATCATCCTTCTTACATTTATAATTTTGTCTCTCTTTTTTTTTCTCTCTCTCTCTCTCCCTATTTACCATCCCCCCCCCCCCCCCCCCCACCACCACCACCACCAACCATATTCGTATATTTCAAGCCTAATAAAATCAATCCTATAGCTCCTCTATTCTATTAATTACGACATCTATTGGTTATATAATTTAATAGTATCAGCTATTCAAGATACGATACTAAATACCTCACTACCCATTCGATAATCCAATAATGCAAATTGTCTCTGACATGCTTCATGATATTTAACAGGATGGGGCAAATCTATCGTCAGAGACAGACTCTTGACAAAATTTACGCTCTCGGATTGTGAGAAGCAAGAGAAGCGATTATTCCTGTCGACGTGTAAAAAACGATCAAAGTAGAAATACTTTGAGCATTCAATCAGCCAGCAATAGGAGATAGATTGTTATTGATTGGAGAGTAAGTAAGACAGAGAAATAAATACTTTGAAGATATATAAGACACATCGATTTCCATATGTCGGTTTTTAATTTTTGATTTAATTATATATATATATAATCTTTCAACTTTTGGGATCCAGTCAATATGCTACAATCATTCCTACAATGGTTTTATGATTGGCTGGTTTACATGAATGCTGTTACTTGTAGCTATAAAAAAGCTTGTTTTAGTTTGTGTTGGGAGTAATAGTGGTTTATTATGATATGATGGGGGGAGAGAGGTAGAAGGGAAGGGAGAGAAAGTGAGAGAGAAAGAGAGAGGAAAGCGAGAGAGTGAGAAAGAGAATGAGAACGAGAATGAGAGAAAAAGAGAAATTAATATTGTATAGTTATAGCGCATCTATTATTTTCTTTGCATACATAAAAAAAAAAGGTATTTATCTATACACACTTGGAGTATGGCTGCTATAATAAGAATTTGATTGACGCATGTAAAGTGTATCAGATATCATTAGTTAATAGCCCGTACCACTCTAATTTATGACCCGTATTGAACTATTCAACCAATCATATTTCTTCACTCTCGCTAAAATCCGTGATACCTCTATCTTGCGTCATGCAAATTGCAAACATTATATCAAGCGTCTAGCCATCCTCGTTATTATTACCTCATCGTTTCTTCAACTCTCTCTTTATATAGTATTTCAACGATGAATCCTCTGTATCCAACGCAAAACCCGTTACCCACGTCAGCCGCTGCTACTGCTTTTGCAATGGCGGACCCTTACTCGTGGGATCTTACATCTCTCGAAGACAACATTGAAGCACAGAAACTACTTGCTGCAGCGATAGCTTCCAATGATCGATACCGATACGAGGAAGACGCAAAGAGGAAATTAGACTTGTTGGAAGACTTTATTCAACAGACTCCAACCAAAGCAAGTCGTAAGTAGGACTGGAAAAAAGAAAGAGAGTGCAAGTTTGTGTGCGACAAGTATAGTTTTACGAATGCTTGGGGGGTATGGTCGGCCTGGCCTGGAAAGCTCTAACCCATGACTGATATGACCTGTCTTTGCAGATAATCTAAACATTTCGTCTGTTCCTCATCCGGATCTCTCTACTCAAGGTTGGTAAACTCGCATGGGGTAAAGAGTTGCGAAAAGAAAAAGTAGTATTTTTTAAAAACGGTTTTAACGTGGGAGAGGAATCGCACGACAAGTCATCATACATGATGAACGTCGACTGTTGCATGTTTTTGTCGTAGGAACGTGAAAAAGGTTGAATATTTTCATTCATTTGGTTTATTAGATCCGGCAGAGTTGAGCAGTTCACCAACGCTGTCAGAACAATCGCCCGAACCACAAAAGAAAAAACCCGGAAGAAAACCGCTTACAAATACTCCAAGCTCTGTACGTTTTCAACATTGTTTTATGGTTTGGTGATTCAAAGCTGCAATGGTGCTGGGTCTTTTGCACGCGCGCACATTTGTTGATAACAACACAAAACGACTAATATAAACGACTATCGATTCTATCATAATGACTTTATGACATTAGAAACGCAAGGCACAAAACAGAGCTGCACAGCGAGCGTTCCGTGAACGAAAAGAACGTTATGTCAAAGAACTCGAAAATAAAATCAAATTACTAGAATCACAATCTGCCAAGAGCGTTCAAGAGAATGAAAAACTCAGAGCACTAGTAGAACAGTTACAAGAAGAGAACAGTCTACTCAAACAGTCTAATTTTTCATTTGATTTCACCGTCGACAGCACGTCTAAAAGTACTGCCGCCATAGATAAAGAGATTAGCGAGTTTGTTGGACAGTCATCCGGAGGCCCGACTAGACCAAACATGAGCACACCTCCATCATCGCAGGCTAGTGACGAAGAAGCAAGCACGCCTGCAAGTAGTGTGGGAAATCTACAACCGATCGAAGCAGCAACACCCTTTAGCACTTTTTCCAATTCTCCTCAGATATCGACATACGACTTTGTCATCGGCGACGATGATATCACAGTTTCGGAACCTGCGCCGCCCAAGCCCACTAAACCGTCGTCTGCCAAACCACAGTCTGCAAAGGAATTTTGTCAGAAATTCACTAATGGAGTATGTCCAGATGACTTGGATGACGATGA